AGTACAAGTAGGAAACCCTAGCTTTGTGTACCCCCTAAAGGCTAACCCACTATAGCCTACACAACAATAACACATATAGTATTTGACATGTGTAAGAATTATTGAACGTGCAACATTGAACGTGCTGGAAGAACGGATTCAGGGTTTGCAACATTGAACGTGCTGGAAGAACGGATTCAGGGTTTGCCACATTGAACGTGCTGGAAGAACGGATTCAGGGTTTGCCACATTGAACGTGCTAGAAGAACGGATTCAGGGTTTGCAACATTGAACGTGCTGGAAGAACGGATTCAGGGTTTGCCACATTGAACGTGCTGGAAGAACGGATTCAGGGTTTGCAACATTGAACGTGCTGGAAGAACGGATCCAGGGTTTGCAACATTGAACGTGCTGGAAGAACGGATCCAGGGTTTGCAACATTGTGTTAACGGGAGTGTTGCTTGGCCCCGTCCTCGCTTGGGCGGAGACGACCTCGTGGTCGGATGCGCGGGGGTTGCAGCCGACCTGCAGCATTGGGCACGGGGGCCACTGCATGTGCGCCGAGCTGGAGGGCGCCTGGCTGGAGGGCGCGGAGCAGGAGGACGCCGCCCCGAACGCCTGGTTGGCGTCCTGGACGCCTGGACGGCGTCCTGGGAAGCTGGACGCCGACCTGGGCGTCGGCACGACTACCTGGGCTCCTGGTCAACGTCGTGGGCGCCCGCACGGCGTCCTGGAAGGCCACACGCCGACCTAGGCATCTGCACGTCGTCCTAGGAGTCTGGGACGCCGCCCTGGGCGTCTGCACGGCGTCCTGGGGGCCCGGACGCTGACCTAGGCATTCTGGGGGGCCCGGACACCGACCTGGGCGTCTGGTCGGTGTCCTGTGAGGCTGGACGCCGCTCTGGAGGTCTGCACGGTGTCCTGGGCGTCTGGACGCCGACCTGGGGGTTCGGACCGCGTCCTGGGCGCCTGGATGCCGGACTGGGGACGCCGGGCATTGGTGGCCGGCTACGGACTGCGCTGGTCGGCCAGGCGTGGCTGCCCGGTCGACCGGGATACCCGGGCGACGTGTGCAAGTGTCGCCGGGGTGGAGTCTGCGAGGCCGACCTCGGGGGTGGTATTCCGAGGTCGACGTGGCTGGTGGGCGCAGTCGCTGGCGTGGAGTCTGCCAGGCGTCTGCGCTGTGCTCGTGACAAGGTGTGGAGCGCCAACCAACTGCGCGCACCTGCAAAGCAGGTGCACCGTTGTCCTGCGGGTGCAACGCTGTGCAGCCGACTTGCTGCAGCGTTGGCATACCGTAGACGTGCAACGTTGGCGAACCGCTACTCTGTAACGCTGGAGCGGTGCGAGCGCTGCTGCGCTGGAGCGCGGTCGACCGTGCTGCGCTGGAGGTCAACCAGCAGCCCTGCTAGCTCTGATGTAGTCAGTAGTGCCAATGTTGTTGCTATCTTTGCTCTGAATTTTTCCTAGTGGAACTCTTGCCAAACTTTCCCCGTGAACCAGCAAGTGTGTGCGCACAAGGAAACGACTAAGGAACGAACGAACGAACGCAGAGATCACACGAGCACCCGTGCCTAGCCCGTAATCTAGCTCCCGTTGCAGTAGTTATCTCTGCACATTGAACGTGCTGGAAGAACGGATCCAGGGTTTGCAACATTGAACGTGCTGGCAGAACGGATCCAGGGTCTGCAACATTGAACGTGCTGGAAGAACGGATCCAGGGTTTGCAACATTGAACGTGCTGGAAACGGATCCAGGGTCTGCAACATTGAACGTGCTGGAAGAACGGATCCAGGGTTTGCAACATTGAACGTGCTGGAAGAACGGATCCAGGGTTTGCAACATTGAACGTGCTGGCAGAACGGATCCAGGGTTTGCAACATTGAACGTGCTGGCAGAACGGATCCAGGGTTTGCAACATTGAACGAGCTGGAAGAACGGATCCAGGGTTTGCAACATTGAACGTGCTGGAAGAACGGATCCAGGGTTGCAACATTGAAGGTGCTGGAAGAAAATATTTAGTGTTTGCAACATTGAACGTGCTGAAAGAACAGATTAAGGGTTTGGAACATGGAATGTGCTGAAAGATTCAGGGTTTGCAACATTGAATGTGCTGAAAGAACATATTCAACTAACTGAGGGAAGGTAACTTCGAGAAGGAGAATGACCAGCACATTCAATGTTGCAAATCTAGTCACTGATGTTGTATGGTTTGACTTGTGCAGGCCTGTTGCTGCACGCGAGGCGACGCTGCTGACGGGGAGGCGACACTGAGCAATGCCGCGAGGAGGCGAGCAGCGACTGGAGATCGGGAGGCACCACCGCTACTGCCCTGCTGATGACTGCTCGCCTCAGGAGGAACGACGAGGCGAAGAGGGAGAGGTGCCACTGCTGGCGAGCGCGCCTGCATTCAGATTCGGCAGTGCAACCACGTGCAGACCCTACGTTGCGCTGCTTTTAGGTGCGTTGCTTTCACACCCTGCGTTGCTCTCCGTACCTTCAAGTCATTTGCCCGCCCACTTCTCTCCACTTTCTATGCCTTTGCTCGCCGTTACCGCTCTCGCGTCGCACGTGCCCGCTGCTCTCCACTTTCCATGCCACTGCTCTCACTTTCCATGCTGACCACTGCTCGACTCTCAAGGAGCTCGATGCAAGACATCTCAGCAAGGAGCAAGCAAGGAGCTAGTGCTGTCTCACCTAGGTGCACTGCCGAGTGACTCACCTGCTGCTAAGGCAAAGAGCAAGGATGTTGAGATGCGACTTGGAGGGGCTGAGGCTGCTGCACTGCACCTGTGGGATGGCGGCAGTGGGATGACGCCCTCCCAATCTGGTGTGTTCTTTTCTTTGTTATTATCATTTCTGAACAGCAAGAGACTGATGTTGTTCTCTGTCACTTGTGCAGGTTGCCCACGCACTTGAGGCGAGGAGGCAGAGGTAGCTACGGGGCGGTGGGACGGCCACGGCCTGGGCGTGCCCTGCTGACCACTGCTGTCACTGCATGCACCTCTCAACAGCAGCAGCCTTGGGCATTGTGCCCTGGTTTTGGACATTGGTTTTGGTTTTAGTTTTGCACATGGCATTGGCTGTCTAGGGGCAGTACCCTGAGGCAAGCGGGCAGAGGCCCGAGCGTATGAGGCACACACGGTAACGCCAAGGGCCGGCTCGACTGGTGAGTGCATGCTTGCAGCAAGGTGTGTGCACGAGTTAGTTGTTGCAGCTCCTTCAGTGAGAAGACCCCTTCTTGCTGCATACTGCAGCACCTCCAGCACCCACACTCACGGTACGTCGCAAGGTTTTTCCTTGTCGTTGTCGTTGTCTCTTCTTTCCTCATTACGTTCGCTTCTCTGCATGTTCACGGTTGCTCGAGTTACCGCCGTGCTTGTTGCTCCATGCAGCACACTCAACCCAAGCGCATGCAAGGAGAGGGGAGGCGTATGGGCGCGTTGCTGAGGTGGATGGCGCATGGCTGACGTAGACGCGAGCGTGATGGGATGACGCACGGCCGGCAGTCACAAGCGTGTGGCTGCCTCCTACCCGCCCTGCTGACCACGCGCGCTCGGAGGCAAGGTGCGAAGGAGCAGACGAGGAGGTGGCGAGGTGGAGTGGAGCGATGGGTGGGTGGAGGAGGATGCGTGGATTGCTTGATTGGGGTGGGTTGCTTGCTTGGGGTGGGTTGCTTGATTGGGGTGGGTTGCTTGATTCGGGTGGGTTGCTTGATTGGGCTGGGTTGCTTGATTGGGCTGGGTTGCTTGATTGGGCTGGGTTGTTTGATTCGGCTGGGTTCCTTGATTGGGGTGGGTTGCTTGATTGGAGGAGGCAACTGGAGGGGCGAAGGCTGCTGCACTGCACCTGTGCGAGGAGGCGAGTGGCGACTGGAGGGGCGGAGGCTGGTGCACTGCACCTGTGCGAGGAGGCGGGTGGCGACTGGAGGGTGGAGGCTGCTGCACTGCACCTGTGGGATGGCAGCAGTAGGATGACACACGCCAGGCACCACTGCTGCCCTGCTGATCACTGCTCGCCTCAGGATGAACGGCGAGGCCAGGAGGGAGAAGTGCCGCTGCTGGCGAGCGCGTCTGCATGCAACTCTGACCCCTCCTGAATATGGCTAAGAAATCTCTATTCTCTTGATATTTTCACGCTCTTGTTCACACTTGTTCTTTCACTGCTCGCCTTCGCCGTCATTGCCACTACCTCCTCCTCTCGCCACTCGTGTTGAGCGATGATGCTGCGGTTGTGAGTATGCCTGCTGTTTACTCCCTTGTGTGTGCTTGCGTGTTCGGTTGTAAGTGTGCTTGCTGCTTACTCTCTTGTGTGTGCTTGCGTGTTTGGTCGTAAGTGTGCCTGCTGCTTACTCCCTTGTGTGTGCTTGCATGTTTGGTTGTAAGTGTGCTTGCTGCTTACTGCCTTGTGTGTGCTTGCGTGTTTGGTTGTGAGTGTGCCTGCTGCAGTTGTAAGTGTGCCTGCTGCTTACTCCCTTGTGTGTGCTTGCTTGTTCGGTTGTAATTGTGCCTGCTGCTTACTCTCTTGTTTGTGCTTGCGTGTTCAGTTGTGAGTGTGCCTGCTGCTTACTCCCTTGTGTGTGCTTGCATGTTCGATTGTGAGTGTGCCTGCTGCTGACTGCCTTGTGTGTGCATCTTCTACGTGCGTACAGGAGCGAGTGGAGCGAGGAGCGGCGCGGCGGGGAACAGAGGTGCTTTCCCCTTAATAATATCTCTCCTGGGCACGCGGGGGAGCGAGCGTGTTGGGATGACGCACGGCTGGCAGTCACTGGCGTGTGGCTGCCTCCTACCCGCACTGCTGACCACGTGCTCGGAGGCAAGGCGCGGAGGAGCAGGCGAGGAGGCGGCTCTTTGGGCGGGGAGGCAGTGAGGAGGCAGCGCTACAACGAGACTTCTTTCTCCCACGTGTGCTAGCTTCTCCCCTTGCGTCCATGGGGTGAGGCGGAGGAACAAGACGGAGCGTCTGACGGGCGGATTGAGGCGATTACAAGGAAGGGTGCTGTTGCATGGAGAGTGCGAGTCATGCAGAGCCGAGGGAGCGGATGGGCTCAATCTTTTGAGAGTGAGGGCCCCAATCTCTCTCTTGATCTTGTCCTGAAGCAGGGGCCCGCCTTTGTCCTCTACGGCTACTCACTTTCCTCCAGCACCTTGGCCCTTGGATCTATCCTCTTCCATGCCTCTGTCTCACGTCCTCCTGACCGGCCTCCGTCCTCACTCCTCCCCCTTCCGTTCCCTTCAGTTCGGGCCTTCATGTGGAGCGAGGAGGGCGAGGGGGCAGCGCAGCGGGGTAGCAAGAGGAGCTTATCTGCATAATCCCTGCCTTCCTTCCCTTCAAGGCTTCACGTGGAGCAAGGAGGGCAAGGGGGCAGCGCGGGGGGCAGCAAGAGGCGTCTCTCTGCATAACCCCCCCTTTCCTTCCCTTCAGCATGGCAGGTAGCGCGGTGGGCGAAACAGCGGGCGCCACAGCGGGCGGCTCGGATGGAGGTGAGGTGCTGTTTCATCGTTGCAGCAAGGCAAGCTTCTTCCCTTGTCTGTTTCCGCCATCAACTATTCAAAGTTCTCCGATTTTAATTGTGTGCTCGTGGGTTTCATTATGCTCTCTTTCTTGTGTTTGTCATTCCACTTTTGGCATATTAACAGGTGGGCGATGCAGCAGGGGGGCAGCGCAGAGGGCGACACGGACGGAGGTACAATGTCTCGCTCTGTGCTTTTCACTTGCTCCTGTTTTCCTATTTCCTCCTGTTTTTCCGCATTGCATGTGTTGTGTTCGTCTTGCCCCCCACTCCCCTCCCCTTCCCTCCCCTCCCCCCCCTCTTCCCTCCCCTCCCCTCTACTCCTCTCCCCTCCCCACTCCCCTTCCCCTACAGGTTGATGGACAACAGTGGAAGTGGGGCGGCAGGCCGGGCGACACGGACAGAGGTACAATGTCTTGCTCCAAGCTTTTCACTTACTCCTGTTTTCCTATTTGCTCCTGTTTTTTCGCATTGCATGTGTTGTGTTCGTCTTGCATGTGTTGTATTCGTCTTGCCCCCCCCTCCCCTCCCCTCCCCTCCCCACTCCCCTTCTCCTGCAGGTTGATGGACAACAATGGAAGTGGGGCGGCCGGGCGACACGGACGGAGGTACAATGTCTTGCTCCATGCTTTTCACTTGCTGTTTTCCTATTTGCTCCTGTTTTTTTGCATTGCATGAGTTGTGTTCGTCTTGCATGTGCTGTATTCGTCTTGCCCCCCCCCCCTCCCCTCCCCTCCCCTCCCCTCCCCTCCCCTCCCCTCCCCACTCCCCTTCCCCTGCAGGTTGATGGACAACACTGGAAGTGGGGCGGCCGGACGACACGGACGGAGGTACAATGTCTTGCTCCATGCTTTTCACTTGCTCCTGTTTTCCTATTTGCTCCTGTTTTTTTGCATTGCATGTGTTGTGTTCGTCGTGCATGTGTTGTGTTCGTCTTGCATGTGTTGTGTTCGTCGTGCATGTGTTGTGTTCGTCTTGCATGTGTTGTGTTCGTCTTGCATGTGTTGTGTTCGTCTTGCATGTGTTGTGTTCGTCTTGCATGTGTTGTGTTCGTCTTGCATGTGTTGTGTTCGTCTTGCATGTGTTGTGTTCGTCTTGCATGTGTTGTGTTCGTCTTGCATGTGTTGTGTTCGTCTTGCATGTGTTGTGTTCGTCTGCATGTGTTGTGTTCGTCTTGCATGTGTTGTGTTCGTCTTGCATGTGTTGTGTTCGTCTTGCATGTGTTGTGTTCGTCTTGCATGTGCTGTGTTTGTCTTGCATGTGCTGTGTTCGTCTTGCATGTGTTGTGTTCGTCTTGCATGTGCTGTGTTCGTCTTGCATGTGTTGTGTTCGTCTTGCATGTGCTGTGTTCGTCTTGCATGTGCTGTGTTCGTCTTGCATGTGTTGTGTTCGTCTTGCATGTGTTGTGTTCGTCTTGTATTGTGTTGGCAGCTGGCAGGTGTCCAAGACCGAAGACCGCCTCCGACTGCAGCATAGGTGTTGTGCGGCAGAGGTTGGTGACGGCGTTGGGACGGACGCCTCCCACGCCTGAAGCGCCCCTGTGTGTGAGTGAGTGCACTGACGATGGATGGGGAGACGTCCCCTGAAGTCTGATGGCTTCCTCACCCCGCCTTCACTTAGCAAGGTGTTACGCCACCTGGTCTGAGTTTGGGCTTGTGGGACGCGGCAGCCTGCTCGTGCCGTTTAGGGGCTGCAGTCCCACACGAGGGGTCCCCACCTCAACGTGGTGTGTGGGTGTAACACTAGGGGTTAACCCCCTAGTGGCCAAGAGGGGCCCAGACGACTAAAAACCATGGCGCACTCTATTATTGCCCAAATGATTTTTAATTTATATAATTGCCTAGATAGTGATTTACCTGGTTAGGTCATTAATCAGACAACTAGGTCTCAGCATGGTCACTTGAAAATATGTAACATGCACCAGAGAAGCATATGGTGCAGTGTTGCAGATAAACAGGAAATTAAGGACCTCTAACATTACAGTATAGGGGGACCATTAACATTTAGTACATTATTTCATGCCAGACAATCAGGAACATGCGACAGAGGCTAATTCCTTCTGACATGGCAACATTTCCTCTCAAACATGGGACATTGCTATGTGTGTTGCTACGGTACTTCTGGCAATGCTGTGTGCTGCCCACCCAGCAGAGACTCATGGAAATCCCTACCAATCAACACAGTAACAGCATGCCGAAGTGAAGTCGTTCACACACGTAGCACTTCGTCTCAACTTGTTGGCAGCAATGGAGTTCGTAGGATCCTACAGGTACTTTCTGTGAACCTCCTTAGCAACAGCAGCAGAGAACAGCTATAACGCCTGCCTCTGCACCTTGAAAGCTAAGTGACTTTTGAACCGGCTGAATCACCTGGCTGTTTTACTGTGACCTCACCTTGTTATTCGCAGCAACGGAGTTGGTGGGATCCTCGCGAGCAAAGTGCCTTCTGAAATGACTGAATCCCTGCCTCTCTTGCCATGTAACAGGGTTACCACATTGTCTCACCTTGTTATTCGCAGCAACGGAGTTGGTGGGATCCTCTTTAGTCACCGCAGTGAACACCTGCAGTGCCTGCCCATGCTCTCTGCGAGCAAAGTGCACGAGAGCCTTGTTCCGCCGCACCAGCCCCTTCATCTCCCCCACATGTGCTGCTGTCACCCGCCCTGTCTCCACACCCCCATCGCTCCCTCCTCCTGCTCCAGTTGCTCCTGCTCCTGCTGTGTTACTCGCATCTCCTGTTCCTTCCCCTCCTCCCTCCCCCTCCCCCGCCCCCTCCCCTCCTCCTCCCCCAATCCCCCATTCACTCTCTATCTCCACCTCGCGATGCACCACCATCTTCTCCACCAATCCAAACGCGGCGCTCGCACCCTCCACGTCCCTCAGCTGCAGCCGAACAAGGCCGTACCGCGAGAGCAGGGCGGCGTTGCTTGGCTCGTAACGCAAGAGCCGCTGCAGCCAGAGGAGCGCGGTGGGGTAGTCGCGCTGGGCTAGGTGGTGGTGGGAGACCAGCGCGTGCGGCACTGGCTGCCGTATGCGCGCCCAACACGCCACCAACGCTGCCTGCTGCAATGCTGCTGCTGATACTGATGCTGAGGATGAGGGTACTGATCTTGATGTGCCCTTAGCGCTGCTGCTGCTGGTGGTGGGTAAGGTTGAGGTGGTAACAACAGCAGCAGCAGCACCACCCTCCCCATCTTCAGCTGACATAACATCTGCCATGCCTTCTCTTGTCTCTGTGCTCATGCTCTTGCTCATGCTGCTGCTCTTGCCGCTATCTGCAGGTGCTGCTCTCGCCTGTGTGTCTGCCAGTTTTGCCTGAACATCCTTCATCTGCCGTCCACGCAGCAAGGCACAGACGGATTGAGTCACTCAGTGAAGCATTCTGGAGAGATTTGCAGAATGCAGAATGCGATATGCCAAGTGCAGAGTGCTAAACCGCAGCCCACCACACTGCACCCACCTTAGCTGTGCTGTGCAGTATGCCTGCAGAGCGCATAGTCGCTCCAGTGTGAGAGCTGGATTGCCCATGCGGTCGGGTTGCTATAGAGAACACACAGAGGGTGAAACGGCACACCCACACCATGCACAAACCTGAGCTCACCACACTGCACCCACCTTAGCTGTGCAGTACGCCTGCAGGGTGCATAATCGCTCCAATGTGAGGGCCGGGTTGCCCATGCGGTGAGGCAGCTCTGCTGCCAGCCAGCGCAGCGCAAAGGGCAGCATGGAGCCTGGAATGGAAACGTGGGGAGGCAATGCGGGGAGGGATGGGAGCAGGGAGAGAATGGGGAGGAGACTCATGCTGCCAGCCACCGCAGCGCAAAGGGCAACATGGAGCCTGCAAGGGAGGGGGGATGCGAGAACAGGCGCAGATTGGAGGGGTTGGGAAGGAGAATGGAGAGGATGGGAAGGAGATGGGCGGGGACATAGCATTGCCCATGCGAGGGATATTTATAGAGTACTCGCCTTTCCTCCCGGGGTACATGCCCGGGTGCGCCTCAAATAGGTACTACGGCGAGTCAAGGGTGCCTTGAATTCCCACCATCTCCCTTCACAAGGGAACCACGTAGTGTAGCACCCACCTTTCCTCCCGGGGTACATGCTGGGGTGGGCCTCGTATCAATATTGTGGAGAGTCGAGGTTTTCGAGCAGTGTGAGCTACTCTGCCGCTGCCCAATACATGCGCAGCTTCATCAGCGACAGCACGTGGTAACCGCGTAACGCCAGCTGCTGCGCCAGCCCTGCCAGCTTGTATCCCTCCACCACCTTGTCCACTATGCCCTCCATGAGCCGTGCTGCTGGTTGTTGCAGCATGGAAAACACAGAGGGGAGAGTCAGTATGAGCCAGCCCGCCAGCTTGACTCCCTCCACCACCTTGTCCAGTCCACTATGGCCCGCCACAACCCTTGCCTTGGGTTGGTCACAACAACGATGCATAAAAACAAGATTACATATGCGATGTGGCGAGAGGTGAGTCGAGCGGGCATGCCCAGCCTGAAAGCTTGAATCCGTCCACCACCTTGTCCACTATCGCCCGCTGTGAGCCTTGCCTCTTGTTGTTGATCAGACAAAGTGGAGGACATATGCATGCAATGCAAGGCAAGAGAACAATACAACAGAGCTTGTACACATTGCAGCTAGCACATCTTGAAACGAGTGCACCTTGTAGTGAGTTGAGCACAGCTTAAAGAGAGCACAGCAGGAAACGAATACACCTTATAGCGAGCACAGCTAACAGAGAGTACATTCTGAAACGAACACACCTTCTAGCGAGCAGAAGTTACAGCGAGCACAGCAAGGCCGTCCAAGGAGGTCTTGACGTCGAGACTAGACATGCGGCGAAAGCTGACCGGCGGGGATGAGCGCGCTGCAAACGCACTGCTGCTGCTGCCAGTGCTAGTGCTAGTGGTGCTAGCGGTGCTGATGTTAGCGGCACCAATGGCGGTGGTGGTGCTGCTGCTAGTAGTGGTGGTAGAGCTGGTGCTGGTGGTGTTGGAAACAGGAGGAGCGCCTCAACCTGACATTAACGCCCCTCCCGCTGCTGCACTCACCCCCACTCCTATCACCCCGCCTGGCAGCCTCCCTCCTGACCCCCCGGCTGCTCCCCCGGTTGCCCCGCCTGCGAGCTTGGCAGTGCCAGGGGGGGCTTGCGGGGGAGGTCTGTACCCGGGCGGGGGGTGAGTGGGGCGCGATAGAATTGCGTGTGACTGTGGCGGGTGTGACTGTAATTGTGACAGAGGCGGGTGGGATAGAGGGTGGGGAAGCGATGGGGGAGGGTGAGATGGAGGGGGGTGGGAGGGCAAGGAGCGTGATGGGGGGGGGGGGGGGGGGGTGCGGAGAAGGGGGATGAAACGGCGGGTGTGATTGTAGTGGGTGTGAACCTGGAGGGTGTAATTGCAGGTGGGAGACGGGAGGGGCGGAACCACGCCGCTTTTTCTCAAAGAAGCCTCCCCCCAGAACCAATCGCTGTTTTTGTAACAACCACGGCCCTTATAACAACGGGCAACCGTGTGTTAAATATAAATCCTCGTGACAATTTATATATAAACAAAGTTACAATGCTTGAAATTTTTTAACTAATCCCACCAAGGGATAACCAAGCTAAGCTTGAAGGATCTTGAGAGGAGAAGTTGTAGCTTTTGAAGAAACTTGAGTAGGTAGGTAGCTTCTTGTAGAGTTTATCCTTAGGAAATCACAACTCTAGTTGTGTAGGAGAGCTTGTTAGGAGAACCCAAAAGACACAGAGATTTCCCATTTCCAAGTTAGATTGTTGGCGTTGGGAAGTGGGAATGAGCTTGAGAGCTCCAACCCCTCAATACCCCTTGGGGCTCTTCCCAACCATGGCATCCATGGTTGGAGAGCAAATAGGCTTGGAGCCTATGTGGCACTTTAGTTTGGTTGGGGAAAACCCAACTTAGCACAATTGTATGGTTGTTTTAAACTTTGTGTGGATTGTAACAACAACTGTCAACTTTCCATTGGTTGGAAATCCAACCTTGCACATTCATTTGGTTGGGTTGGAAAACTTCCCAATCTTCACTTTTGTTGGGTTGGAAAGTCCCAAGCCACAAAGTTGAGGTTTGGAATACCAAGCCAACCTTTCTCTCCCAACTCAACCTTCAACTCCCGTAGTCCGATTTCTGTCGAGACATTTCACGACCTAGACTAGGAAGAAGTTAGGTGGTGCGTTAGGTGGTGCGTTACACTCCCCCCCCCCTAGGTGGCAACGTCCCCGTTGCCTTAGGGTGCTTCTTAGGACGAGCGCTACGAGCACACCGTGTCACATTACGACCAGGGTCAACACCATCCACTGGTTGTGCGGCAGCTCGTCGGGCCAGATCTGTCATGTATGACTGAACTGCAGTTTCAGTCAGATGCTCTTCTGGTTCCCAAGAGTTGTGTTCAGGCCCATATCCTTTCCACTTGATGAGGAACTCTCGTACTGTCTTGCGGCCGCGCTGTCGATCACGATGCATCAGCACTCGTTCGACTTCATAAAACAGTTCCTCCCCCAGGACGATCGTTGGTGGTGGCAAGTACTTGCCCTCTGCAACGTACTTGTTCAACAGAGACACATGGAAGACGTTGTGAATCTGCAATGTATCAGGCAGCTTAAGCTTGTAAGCTACCACACCAACACGCTTGATCACCTCGAAGGGCCCAATCCATCGAGGGAACAGTTTTCGTGCTCCAGGGATTTTGAGACGAATGTTTTTCGTGCTCAATAAAACTTTGTCTCCAACCTCAAATGAGACTTCCCGGCGTTTCATGTCGGCGTAAGACTTTTGTCGCTGCTGAGAGAGTTGCAGCCAATGGCGAGCAGACTTAAGCGCTTCTTGCTGCTTGCCAACAAAGTCTTTAGCGGCTGGAATTTTCAATCCACCGATCCCATGCGTAGCAGGTGTTGTGGGATGCCGACCATAGTTCAGAATGAAAGGTTTCTCACGTGTACCTTCATGAACTGAATTGTTCACTGCGAATTCAATGACAGGCAACAACTCGTCCCAATCATCCTGAGTTGGGCCAATGAATGGACGAAGCATCTGCTCAAGTGTCCGGTTTGTTCGTTCCGTCTGCCCATCGGTTTGTGGGTGGAACGCTGATGACATCTTAAGCTTCGTTCCTAGTGTCCGTGTGACTTCTTGCCAGAACCGGCTTGTGAAGCGCGGATCCCGGTTGGACACCAATACACGTGGTAACCCGTGTAAGCGGAAAACGTGCGCCACAAACAATTTGGCCATATCTTCCGCAGATACGTCAGTTGTCGTAGCCACGAAATGCACCATCTTTGTCAGACGATCCACAAACACTAGGATCGCTGTATGGCCATCGCGAGTCTTGGGAAGATCCGTGATAAAATCCAAGGATACGCTCTCCCAAGGTTCATTCGGGATCTCGAGTGGTTGAAGCAAACCACCAGTGTCACAGGATCGAATTTCCACTCGAGAATGTTGCACTAAAGGTGAGTACAAGGCGTATTTATACTCAGAAATACATAGAAACAACAGATAATCCGAACCTTCGGGACCGCGCTCTTCTAGAATAGATAATCACAAGTGCGCATAAGCACGCAAGCCCATTGGCACTTCGGATTATGGCGAGATTACGCCTTGAACACCACTGTCGGTGCTGTCGGTGCCGAAAATACCAAATAAGTGAAATAGTCGGAAAGCTCTAGAAAATAGAATAGTAGTCCGATTGAGGTAGAATAAAGTGCAAATGAAAGAGGAAAATAAGGAGAATAAGATGGAGTAAAAATATAGAAATGAGAAATATGTCGAACGTCGGCGTACTCTCACACTTCCCCCCCTCAAAGCTGGGTGGTAGATGTAACACCCTGCTTGACAAGATAGTCGCGGAGAAAACGTCGAGCGTTACTCATGTCTTCTTCAGTGACCCAGCTGTCCTCAGAAGGATCATAGCCTTTCCAGTGTATGAGAAACTCCAGGGCGCCATGCCGACGACGACGATGTGCAAGCACAGATTCAACCTCGTACTCAAGTTCATCATTCACGAGGACTGGAGGCGGCGGCGGAGGTTGGCGTCCCGTGTACAGCTTATTTGGATCTCGATAGGGTTTAAGAAGCTGCACGTGGAAGGCGTTATGAATCTTCCAAGTAGCTGGTAGGCGCAAGCGGAATGTGACTGGAGTGACCTGCTCTTCTACGAGGAAAGGTCCGCAGAAGCGAGGTCGTAACTTGGATGGAAGGTGACTGAGGTTGAGGTTGCATGTGTCGAGACGCACATGGTCACCAACCGCAATGGTATGATCACGTCGATGGCGATCGGCCAAGCATTTCTGTGAAGACTGTATGTCCTGTAGACGCTTGTGTGTCCGATCCCAAAGCTGCTGCATTGTGGTAACGAAGTCATGCGCCGGTTGGACAGTTGCAGGTACTGTCGGGTGTTGTGGAGTTAGTGGATGTCGTCCGTAACAGAGGAAAAATGGGGTCACTCCTGTTGCAGCATGCTTCGCATTATTGTAGGTAAACTCCAACACCGGCAAGTGCAAGTCCCACTTGTTAATGTCGTCCTTGCACGCTGCGTGCAAGAGTTGTTCCACAATTTGGTTCAAGCGCTCTGTCTGCCCATCGGTCTGGGGATGATATGCAGATGACATTGCTAGGCGTGTCCCTATGAGCGACATGAGCTCTTTCCACAACTTGCTAGTAAACTTGGGGTCCCTGTCAGATATGAGGGTTGTTGGGATCCCATGCTGTGAGATGATGTGTTCGAGGAATAGCTGTGCCGTTTCCTCCATGCGTGTGGTTGTATGTGTCGGAATGAAGTATCCCATCTTTGAGAATTTGTCGATGACGACCAGGATGGCATCATGCCCCGCGTTGGTAGGTGGTAAACCGGTGATGAAATCCAAGCTGACCACTTGCCAAGGCTGTTCCGGGACAGGTAAAGGCTGAAGAAGTCCTGCTTTCTTCTGCTTATTGCTTTTCATCCGCTGACACGTATCGCACGAAGTGACAAACTTTTGCACGTCATCTGCCATGTGAGGCTAGTAGTAGACTTTCGCAATCCCGGCAAGAGTCTTGTTACTCCCGAAGTGTCCAGCGTAGAGCACGTCATGGAATTCTTCGAGAAGCAACTGCCGAAGAGGCGGGTAGTTGGGTACCCATATCTTTGTTGATCCTTTGCGTAGTGCGACGTCGTGGTCCCACTGCAACAATTTCTTTTTCTCTGCCAAGGGAATCTCGGGGTGGATGATATACCCGTGCGTGAAGAGTCCCTTGAGTAGCGGATTCATCCCCTCAATCTGTATGGCGGCAATGTGTCCAGGCCGGCTTAGTGCGTCTGCCTTATTCTTGTGTCCCGGCTTGTACACGATGTCGTAGTCGAAGTGTGTCTCGAGGAAGTCAATCCACCTGACTTGTCGTCTAGAGAGGGTCGGTTGTGTCTTTAGGTACTTCAGGCTGCAATGGTCAGTGTAGACCGTGGTCTTTCTCCCTTTCGAGGTCTTGAATGCGGTGATGATCGCTAAGGCCTCTTTGTCGTGAATCGGGTAGTTGAGTTCTGCCCCGTGCAATTTCTTGCTGAGGTAAGCGATTGGTTGTAGTCCTTTCCCTTGGTCTTGCATCAAGACTGCTCCAACTGCTTGGTCGCTAGCGTCAGCTTCGATGACGTAGTCTTTTTCTGGATCTGGCAGGATCAGGACGGGTGCGGACGTGAGTACGGTCTTCAACTGCTCCATGGCTTGCTGGTGCACATCCTCCCACTTGAACGGTGTATTCTTCTTCAGTAGATTGGTGAGAGGTGTTGCAATCTTCGCATACTGTGGCACGAACCAATTATGGTAGTTCGCAAAGCCAAGGAATTGCTGAAG